GCCTGGGAGAGGCCGGGCAGGGTCTGAAGCCCAACACAGAGGGAGAATTTTCACTGAGATTTTCTGGGCGAGGCTCCATCTGGGTCACAAATTCTCTGCCAGTCCCCTCCCGTGTCAGCCCTTCGTCGACCCCATTAGAGGCACCTAAGCCTATCCCGGGGAGCAGCGGGGAGCTTCCAGTGGTTCTTGTTAGGGGCTCCAGGCAGGTGAGCTCGGAAGAGCTCCTGGATGCCACCTACCAGATTCACCTCTGCCCTGTCCCCACACTCACACCCCAATCATATGATCCCCACAGGAAACAAAGAAACAAACCAAAGAAAGTAAACCACATTTCCCTAGCTCGCCATAATGAAGAAGCCTGCCTGCATACCTGAGCCAGAGGGGAACACACAAGCCTTCCACAGACACTGGATGGAGAGGGGTGCCCTAACCCCTATTGAGGAGGCAGTGGGGCAGGCATATTTCTAAGAGTTTTTATACTCATTGACTGCAACAACCCTGTGAGGTACTGTTATTATCCCCATTTTACAGATAAGGGAACTGGGGCAGAGAGCAGTCATGTAACTTTCCGAGGTCACGCAGCCAGTATGGAGAGCCACGATTTGATCCATTCTCCATAAGCAGGCGAACCAAGGGCAGAGACTGGTCAGGGCTGGTTGAGCAGTCGCAGCCTGACCCACTCTACGTCAGTCAGCCAAGCCCCCTTTTGTGCCTTCCCAGCATAACCTGCTCTCTTTGCACCTGCTAGGCTGGGCCCCTGGTTTCTAGGTCAATGGATTTCTTGAGAGCACTTTTATATTTCATGCTTACAGTGATCTTCATTATTACGCCATATTTAAAGGAGGAAACACAGGCTGCAGGGAGGCTGAAAAACTTGGCAGAGCACTCCCAACCAGAAAGCAACAGGTTTGGGATTTGAACCCAGACCTTCAGATGCTACCCCCTCTCCAAACTGCCTGAGCTTGAGCAAGCCTCGCCTGAAGGCCTCTTCCAGAAGTCTGCAGCCCAGCCAGGCACGCAGCAGGGTTTCCCCAGCGTGCCAGATGTATGTGCTCACACTTCGTCTGGACTTGCATTCCCTCTCCACCAGACTCAGAGTTTCCTGCCTTCGGTGGCCACATTAGTCACACTCTGTCTGAGAGCCCAAGGATTATCTGAGTGGGAGCGGAAACAGCAGTTGTGTTCATCAGGTCACTCTGATTAATCAGTTCAGGCCCAAACCTGCTGGAGTGTGGTTGATGCCAGGGAAAGAGAATTCTCAGAAAAACCATCTTCTTGCTGCTTGAAACTGTCCAGGGACGAGCTTGACTCTGCAGTGGCAAGCATTTCTCAAAAAGAAAGTCAGACACACCAAAATGAGTAGCTAGGGGGCTCACAGCGACAGGAAGCACAGGGCCAGGGAGTCTGCAAGAGGCAGAGGAAGCAGAGGCTCATTCTGTTATTCAGGGGGCTAAAGACAGATTTCCTCTGAGGCTGGCCAGCTGTGCTAAGTGGAAGAAGGAACTGGAAAAAACAGTAATTTTTTTTTAAAGTAGATAATCTGTGCACATTCTAAGCTATGCGCATATTCTTCCATTAGTGCGAGTTTACAGTGAAGACGCCTCTGGTCCAGTCAGAGCCTTGGCAGGAAGAAGAGGCACCGTCAGGCAGGGTGACCAAGGAGAGGTTAACCCAGGCATGGTTTTTCAAAGGTGTGGGTACCCGGGCCCAGCTTCTCAGGGGAGCTGTCCCTACCCCAGGCTGGAGAAAGAAGAGGGAGGAGCCACACAGGACAAGGGCTCCAGCTGCAGCTAAAGGCAGGCAGCCAGCCTGGCAGGCGAGGGATACTCCCTCCTCACTCTCCTGCTGCCCTCTGATCCCAGTTGGTGCCTCCCATTGGCCAAACCCAACAGAAGCCAGAGGGCAAGGGAGGCCAGTGATCCAATCCATGGAGTTAGGACGGAGACAGGCAGAGAGTGGATGTGGATGGGCTGATAAAAAGTCCTCGGCACAGTTCTGGCCCTGGTACGACAATCTCTTTCCTCCATCCCCTCTACTGCCATTTCTGAGCACCTACGGGCCTTCCCTAACCAGACACTGGGAAAATGCAAAGGCCAAGACCGAAAAACCCAGGGGAGGCTGGAAAAGAAGCAATGGACGTCAATGTCACTTATGCCAGGTTTGGAGAAATTCTGCCCACGTCTCTGGAGTCCAGCCCATTGTGGGAGATGATTGCTGTGGGCAAGAAAGACAGTTAATTAGTGTAGTGTCTCAAATCAGCATTCTAGGAGCATGGGCCATTATTTGCCATCCCCTAGAACCAGGAAGGTTCTGGAAAACAATGCATGCTTCATTTTAACTTAGTGAGCTGTTTGTTGTTTACAAGGCCAATGCCAGGTTTTATTTACAAAAGAACAAATTCTGCTGCCCCTGCCAAGGACTGGATATCTTAACACCGAGAAGCACAGCAGAAGGTGACACTGTAGGCAGCACGATGAATCTCTTTGCTTCTCCGAATCTAGCATCTTCTTAGGGAGAGCATGGCCAGAGATGCCAACCCTTTTTCCACTGGCCAATTCTGGATCTTCAAGTAACTAGTATAGGTGCCATGCTGTTCTAGCTCTAAAAAGTGAAGCACGAGTCCAAACGGAGCTTGTTTTAATTGAAGAGTATTTACACTTGTAAAAGGTTCTGGGTTTAGAGATCCATAAACAGAGAACAGAGACTGCATGCTAGAAAGAGATAGGCAGGGAGAGAGGGGGCCACCATCTGAGAAGTTACAGTGTGTGTGCCACCCCCCCAACTGTGAATCTGGCAGCCCCCACAAGATTCACTTTGTAACAAACTTTCTACATGGCATGCATTGTTTGTACCCTTGGGAGCCAGAATCCTGGATCTGGCAACTGAAGATGGGGCTTTAAAACACCCCACTTCTCTCCTGGGGGGACAGGATGAGGCAGATCATAGTTGCTGCAAGCAGCAGCTTCAGTTAGGACTCTATTCAAGTCCTGGTTCAGACACTCAGCACTGAGTGGCCTCGGGCAATTCACTGAACCTCAGTTTCCTGATCTGTAAAATGGAAAGAAGAAAACTACTTGTTGGGATTCAAAGAGACCATTCATAAGCACTAGGGACACAGTAAGTGTTCAAAAGATAAGAGCCATATATAAGAGGGCATGCGGCGGGGGCAGTAACAGCGAACATCCATTGAGCCCTAATATCTGCTGGGTGGCGAGCTAAGGGCTTTGCCTGATTTAATCGTGAAATCACCTCAACTCCCTTTTGAAGCAGTGTCCCCGTTTCACACATGAGGAACTAGGCACAGAGAGTTTGAGGGATTTATCCAAGGTCGTCCTACTAGTAGGTAGCAGAGCTGGGGCTCCAATCCTAGACACTCTGGCTTTTGAAGGCAAACTCTGATGTGCATTTTTATGGCATGCATAATTAATCCAGACAACTCCATTTGTGAACATTTTGCAAGAAGGAGGAATTTCAAAATGAGGACAGCCTCTGAGAAGAGCTTGCCAGGAGGTTCTTGCTGCCCTCTGCTCTCCCTTCCCCGCCCCCAGCCAGGGTATCTTCTCCCCGCTTGTCCAGGTCCATCTCCCTCCAGAGACTCACCGAGGGCCAGTCACAAAGCAGGCAGTTTTGAGTCACTCGGAGGGCTTAGCCGAAGGTGAGACATCGACTTCTCTCTTTACCTCTCTGCCTGCTCCATCCTAACCCCCCGACCATGGGTCCTAACGACCATAACGGCACAAGATTCCGCAGACGCCCGCAGGGACCACTCCCAGACATTCATTTCACAAATAGGAATGGGGTGCTCTCCTCTGAGCCAAGCGCTGGGCCAGGAGTGAGTGTCCTGCAGAGAGACAGCTGGGTGCCAGTGACCCCAGTGGATGGTGCGAAAGATGCTGGGAAGGGAGCCAAGCGAGCACCGCACAACTGAGAGCCAAGAAGGCTTGACAGGGGAAGTGACCTTTGGGTCTCAAAACTGGGGCTGGAGTTCAGGAGATGGGGACAGGAGTTCTTTTGAGTGGAGAGGGACACAGAGTTAAGATCTGCGGGTATGAAAGAGCAGAGGTGATGAAGGAACAGCTAAGGGTAGCTTGGGGTAGGATGCTGGCTCCGGACTCACCTGCCTGGGTTCGAATCTCAGTGCCTCCACTTACTACCTGTGTGACCTCGGGCTCATTAGTTGACCTCTCTGTGCCTCAAACCCCCCCCCCCGCCACGTGCAAAATGGGGATGATAACAGTAGGTACCTAGTAGAGTGGCAAGGATCCGACGAGTTCCGTGCATCTAAGTGCTTGGCACAGTGCCTGGCACACAGTGAGTGCTCAACCCTGCAAAGCTCTGGCTACTGTTACTGCTGTTCTAGGGTGTTTGGGGCAGGCGGGAAGGCAGGTGGCCTTAATGCCTCCTTGAATTCCCAACAAAACCAGCAGGAGGTCCTCCTCTGTGTCGTGCATGGCCACCCATGACTCAGGCACACTCAGGCGGGGGGACGGGGCGGGGGGAGGAAACACCAGGGCTGGGATCCAGGAGGCAGCAAACCTAGGCTGGGCCGCTGGGACTGAGGTCAGGGGAGCTGGAGAGAGGCTCGGGGCAGCAGCGGCGGGATTGCACTTCCTGAGTGGCTACCGATGTGCTGGCGCCGCGGATAAGGACGTGAAAAGTACAGAAAGGTGCTTGCCGGGCTCTTGTCTCAGCTTACCCAGGGATGTGGCGGAGAAGGACCCTTGTCCTTTTGCAGGCAAGGCCAGTCTGAGCCCACACTCGGGGACACAATGGTAGTGGGGGTGGGGAGTGCTGTGCCTCTAGGACAGGTCTGAGCGACTGTGGTTCTTCCCGGCAGGCGCCTAGCCTGTGGCCTGTGGTCAGTGACGGGCAGGGCAAGGACCCGCAGGACTGGGTGCGCCCGACGGGGGTGAGGAGGGGAAGGGGGAGAGGATGGGGAAAATCGGGGCACCACGAGGAGGAGGGCCTGGCCAGGAAATGGACCCGCCAGCGTTCCCAGACCACCTCTGCCAGCAACCGGAGGACGCAGCGCCCACCTTGCTTGCTGCGCGCTGGCCCTAGGAGCGGGCGCGGACAACGCGCGGGGTAACTGCGACCGGCACCCTGGCCCTTCACCGCGCAGGTATGTGTCCCCCGGAGCCAGGCCTCTTCCTCTCGCCACGGTCGGGGTCGGTCGGTCGTGGGGTCCCTGGCGCACCAGGAAACCGCCTGCGCACAGGCAAGCGGAGCGGACCGGCTCCTGGGCACTGACAGCCAGGTCTGCGCCTTCCCCCGCACGGGCCCGTGGGGGCCACGTGTACGTGCGCGGGGCGCAGCGGCCCAGTGCGGGAGCGACGGCGTGCGCGCGTGTGTGCGCGGGCCGGGGGGGGGCGGCCAGCGCGGGAGCGGCCGCGTGTGCGCGCGCGCGCGGGGCCAGGCGGAGGCGGCCAAGGGCGGGCGCGCCCCGGACGAGCACGGCGGGTGCCTAGCGGAAGAGGGCAGACGCGGCTGCGGCCAGGCCGGCCTGGTGTCTAACCCCCGCGCGCCACGGGCGCGTCCCGGTCCCTCTCTGGGGTAGAATGTCTCTGCCCCGCGGTTGCTGCCTGCTTTGGCAGCCACCCCCTCGGCTGGCTCTGTGACCACCTGGTAATTACACACACACACACACACACATCTGACCTTTCCCAGATCGCGGCAGGCAGCACTGTGACACAAAGATTCGCCAGGTTTTCCTTTCCTTCCCCCGAAACTGCTCGGTGTCTCTTGAGTGAAGGGCAGGTGTCCGGCCCAGGGAAAGCTTGCCTGCGATTGGCCGAAGGAACGCCGGATGGGGTTGGCAAGGCCTCCTGCCTGGCAGTCCGTGGGCCCAGATTATCCTCAAGCTGGAGAACAGTGATATGGTGACCAAAGGGCACAGGAAGACACTTTTGGATTTAGGAGGAGGGAGCACAGTCTTGGAGCCAGAGGCTCTGTGACTTTGGGCAGGTCACTTTCTGTGGCTGGGCCTCCGTGAAACAAATAACTATTAGCCATGGCCACCACATAGAGGGTCGTGAGGACAAAAGAGATGTGAGAATGGTCCAAATCTGAGGTGATGCGATTGTGTCTTCTGGCACAGGTAAGCTTTCAAAGAAAAGAAGGCAGGGAAAATTCCTGAGCTTAACAGAGGACGTGGGGCTTTAGCAGTGTGGATGCCATAGACTAGGGCATCTGCCGCTCAGAGCCCCGTTCCAGAGCTAAAGGACTATGGTCCACATCTCAGCTCTTCCTCTTATTAGACCTATTACCTTAGGCAGATCAGCTACCCTGTTTTTAAGCCTCGGTGTCACTTTCTGTGAAATGGGCATGATAATAGAGCCTGCTTCCTAGGGTGGTCGTGAGATCATGCAGCTGAAGATCTTGCCTTGAAAGCTTTTCAGTGCCCCCTAGACGTTAGCTATGAATATTGTTATTACCATTATGCTGCGCCCTTCTGGGTACAGTGCACACTGTAGGGAGGGAAGACTCATCCAACAGCCAACAGTGGAAAACGGGTTTTATCCTTCCGAGCTGGTTGGTCTCAAACAAGATACCTTCCCTCTCCGAGCCTTAGTAGTTCATGGGGAAAATGATGATTATTATATCCACCCACAAAGTTGTTATAAAAATTAAAATAACCATATGAATGAATCCAGCACATGATAAGCCCTCACCTGATTTTGGAGAAAGATAATACTTGTGTCCCACCTATCTACGGCTGCATAACAAACCACTTCAAAGACAGCTGCTTAAAATAACAGCATTCATCTGCCTTGCTCAGGAATCCACGATTAGGGCAGGGTTTGGTGGGGATGGTGTATCTCTGCTCCTTGCAGCATCTGCTGATGGGGCCCAGCTGGGGCAAGAGAATCTTCTTCCAAGATCACACACTCGTGTGATAGGCCAGTTGATGCTGGCCCTCAGCTGGGACCGTCGTTCAGGGTCTGGGTTCCTGTCAATGTGGGCCCCCTCCCAGCATGGTAGCCAGGTTTTAAGGGCAACTATCCCAAGTGATAGGAAGTGGAAGCTTCCAGTCTCTTCAGAGTTGGCCTCAGTAGTAACAGCCCACCGAGATTCAAGGAGAGGGGACTTAGACCCCGTCTCTCAATGAGAAAAGCATCAAATAATTTCCAACTATCTTGAATCTACCACAACTTGAAAACCTTCCTTTTGCTTTTTTTACTTTTCCTGGGTGCCATGGTGACAAATTAATTCAACTTTGCGAAGAAGACCAGCAGAGATCCAGATACCCATAACTAGGGTCTTACCACAGAGCCTGTTTTGGTCCAGATCTCTTTCTCTGGGCCTGATTCCAGGCTGAAGGAACAGGCATCCTATATAGTGGCCTCTCTAGTATCCGTTTCCTTGGAACCTCCGGGGCTTCAGTCCCCAGCTCCGCCAACCCCTTGTCTTTAAAACAAGAGGGGGAAGCCAGGAAGAGGGTAATTGGGGTTCAGAAAAGCAGATTTTTCACAGGTGGCCCAGGCTGAGTATAATGAGCATCGATGTAGCTCTCAGGTCCCTGGAGAAACCTGTTTGTTTTTCAAGAGGGTTGCTGCCTGGGTGTTTGGAGTGACTGTTGTCCTACATTATTAGGTTATTAGCTGATGGGTTGAAGTGCCGTGGGCGGGGAGGGCAGGAGGCCCCGGGAGTCGCTATGGCAACCTTCAGGTCTGTGGTTTGTGCTTTGGCTCCAAGCCGGAAGGATGTCCGAGACAGTTGAGACCTTCTCAGAGAGACCACAGATTCTCCAAAGAGAGACCAAAGTCTCTCTTTCAGCAGTAGGTTTCCACTGTAATGTATTTTCACGCATGGCCACCCACCCATGTCCCCAGAGTCAAAACCAACCCTCTTCCGGTTGCCTCCTCCCAGAGTCTGACTGTCTGCCCCAGTCTGTTATTTCCCGACTTCAATTTCAGCCACACTGGGCTGCAGAAAGAAATGGATTTTAGATTCATGTATTCATTGACACGTTCAACATATCGTTGTTGTGCATTTATTTTGGGCCAAGCTACCTTCTTTCTCTCTGAAAGAGAACAAAACAGACCCAGCTCCTCCTTCCTCCTGGGGCTTACTCTCTAGAAGGGGAGATGGGCATGAGCAAATAATCATCCAAATTCCCACGCACTGCATTGTTAATTATTAGAACATAATTAATTTAGACCTAACTTGAACCCCAGCACTGCCATGAGCCAGCTCTGTGACCTTGGTGTCTTCGGTGGTGAAGCCAGGATAATAATATTTACCTTACAGGGTTGCTGTGAGGCATCATCAAGGCACGCTCTGGGATGCACAGCATCTCGCATGTAGCAGTAACTCCAAGTATGTAAGCACCCACCCGGTGTCCCTTTGTCCATGGCCTATCTGTCGTTTGGAACTCACCGGCCACCTTCTCTCTGTATGAGGAGCCCTGGTCCCCCCCAGCTCTCTGGCAGTCACAGCAGTAAAACACCCAGACCTCACCTTTCCGAAGTTTCAAGTCGGCCAAGGAAAGACAAAAAGAACCCAAGGAGGGATGTGTGGAGGAGGGTGGCATTTGAACTGGGCCTTAAAGCTCTGGTGCTCAGACTTTGGTGTGTGTCAGAAAAACCAAAAGGAATTGCTCAAAGGCCAGACTCTTGGACCTCATCCTGAAGTGATTCTGATTCAGTGAATCCAGGGCAGGGCCTGGGAACACTGGTGCGGGCTTCCTAAAGCTCATCTGGGAGACGCTGCCTTGAAGACCGGAGGGGGGATTTGACCTTGAATAGTAGGGAGAAGAAGCCAGGAAGTGGGTGGGCCGCGAGAGCAAGGGCTGATGGGGCCTCCTCCCTGCCTTCACACTTCAGCCACCTTCTGCCCATCTTGCCCGCCCTCCACTCCAGGGGCACAGCTAGCTCCAAGGCCATCCCTGCCCAGAGGCTCTGTCATAACCCCCACACCTCTGATTGGGCCCCATGGCTTTGGTTCCATCACACTCCCTTCTTGCTCGCTGTTAGACTTTGTCCTGGAGTCGGGGTGGGCGTGGGCGACAATGCCCAGCTATTTATTTCCTTCCTTACCTCCTCCACTTCCCAGCCCCTCACCCCAGCTGCCCCCCTCTTTGGTTATCAAGCATTTATTAGTGCCAGACCCTCGGGCAGTATGGTACTAATAAATGAGGCTACAAAAGAGAGAAAGGCCGGCCCGGCTCAGGGGCCTGGGAGCTTGTTAGACGGACGTGCTCAGCCTCACCCCAGGCCTACCGAACCAGATTCTGCACGTAAACGCGATTCCTGGGAGATTCACGTCGACATTTGTGAAGCACTGCTCGGTAGGGTTTTTAATAAGGGCAATATGGTGGCACAGAATAAGGACCCCCAAATGATGTCCCGTTCATAGTCCCTGGAGCCCATGAATATGTTACTTTACGTGACATTAAGGGAGATTAAGGTAGCAGGTAGAATCAAGCTTGCTAATCAGCTGACCTTTAAAGGAGACTGTCCTGGTTTATCTGGGTGGACCCAGCATGATCACAAAGGTCTTTAAAAGTGGAGGAGGGGGGCAGCAGGGTCAGAGTCAGAGAAGGAGATGTGAGGCTGGGAGCAGAGACCAGAGTGACACAGTGTGACACGGGCTCAACCCACCACTGCTGTCCTGGAAGCTGAAAGGGGGCTGAAAGCCAAGGAATGCTGGAAGCCCCTAGAAGCTCGAAAAGGCAAGGAAAGGGATTTTTCCCTAGAACTTCCAGAAGGAAAGCAGGCCTGCCAATACTTTGCTTTCAGCTCAGTGAAACTAATGTCAGACTTCTGACCACTAGACTCTAAGACAAGAAATTTATGTTGTCTTATGCCACTAAGCTGGTGGCAATTTTTTTCCAGCAGCAACCAGAAACTCATACAGTGGTCAAGAGTCTTTGGAGTCAAACAGTTCTGCTCTTTCCTAGCGATGGGACCCTGGGCAAGTTGCTGGCACTCTTGAGTCTCCATTACCCTACCTAGAAGACAGGGATAACCCTGCCTCACAGGACTGGTACAGAAGTTAAAACAGGAAGCATCTGAAAGGTGCTCAGACCAGGTACTAAGCACATACTCCCCAAATGGCAATGACTGCCCTCCTTGATCCTAAGTTGCTCCCACCTCTTCCCTGACTCCACCAGGGCCGTGG